TCCCTTCCCTCTCTAACTTTCCTCTCTCTAGAATCTTCTATCAGCAGCCTCCTCTTTCCCTTTCTGGTTCTCCTTTTTTTTTTCGCCTCTGTTTTTTTTTCTTTTCTTCCTCCTATTTATACCCCACCTATAATACCTTCAGTTAATTTTTAATATAATTTAAATTTTATTTATAAATATAATTTTTTAATTTTTTAATTTTAATTTAGAATAAAAATGAAGTAAAATTGATGGAGGATTAAATTGAAAAAAAAATTAGAAAAAATGGGTGAAAATTTTTGGTTATGGGGGTATTTTTTAAAGAAAAATACAAAATCGGAGGCCAAAATGCAATTAGAGAAGTTTTGCTAGGTAGGATGCTCGGTCAGTAGCCTCAACGAATCAGGACGCGCCGCGTGGCAGCGGACGCTGATGCTGTGCCACGCGGGAGGCCACACGGGCGATCCGCGTGCCCGCAATTGAATGATCCAAATCTGTTCCCGTGCGCACAGACGGCCCGAATGCGTTCCCTCCCCAAACGCAATCAGACAGTCAGATTTAAATGTGATCAGACGGTCCAGATTAAATGCAGACGGATATAAATAACCCTCATTCGTACCAAACCCTAACCCTAGCCGCCAGACCCCCTCGCCGGAGAAGAAGACCCAGCCGCCGGGAAGGAGACCGCCGCCACCCGCTGCCATGCCGAAGCCCTTTCCGACCGCCAAAAGAGGTAAAAAATTTCTCTTTTACTTAGAATTTAATTTTAAACACACTCATCGCCAAATCGGAGTAAAAGGACAGGCTGATTGGCCGAAAAACATGGACAAAGCCTAGCATCGCTACTGTAGAAAATTTCACAAAAACGTCTCCGATGAGGCTCTTCCCGGTTCCCATTATGCATAATTTTTCCACTATTGTAATCAGCGTTTCCTTCTCTACAGGTTGACCGGAGCAAAATATCCAACTGCAACGTGAGCCAGAGGAGCCACCGCATCGAAGCGCCTTGCTATCGATGAGTTTCAGTTTTCTATATTTTTTCGGCCAACCGAGACCCCTTAACGTGTTTTCTCGCAGGGATTAATGCAAAATTGGCCAAAAACAGTCGACCCAAGCCAGATCACCGCCGCGGGCGTCGGCACCATCGTCGGAGCACGGGGGAGCCGCTGTGCCAGAATTTAAAAATTAACCAAAGTGGACTATGAGACTGATTTTGAGTTTGTTTATGACATTTGTAGGTACTTATAGCACGTTTTGATTCCCGAAGAAAAATTTAGGGAACCCAGGAACCGCCTGTAGGCGCAGTAAACAGCTTAGCTTTTCGAGCACCAAATTGAGTAAGAATCTCTCACCCCATTTCTCTGTTATAGAATTGAAGCCAGAATAAATAATAATACGACATTTGTATAATTTAGAAAATGTTCATAATTAAACACGGATTACTAATAGAGTCAGAACTGGAAAAATTATCTGTTGTTGTCTCTGTTGATTTATTTACAGTATTGATGCATGATAGGTACCTTATTAGTTGATTTTATAGCTTTGAATACATATATTGTTGTTTTACGTGTTTATGGCTGAATTGGAAAAAAATGGAAGTTAAAGGTAAATAGAAATTTTATTGGATTGCTGAAGAGATCGGGTACATAGGAAGCCCTATCGTAATAATTTAGCGATCATATCGGACGGGGTATGGGGATGGCCCGTTTCACCCTCATACCGGACGAGATATTGAGGTTTAGTAAGTTTGACGCTCATACCGAACGAGATATGGGAACGGCTTGTTAATTGAGAATGTTAAAGGAAATGGTTCACGTGTAGTAGGGACATCCCTATGGACCTCCATGAATACTAGTAGGCTGACAAAGAAAGTGACAGTTGTTGTTTAATTTATTGAATATGGATATGAATTTATAATGTGTTATGTTGCCGAGTTTATATGAAATCATGGTATGTATAATGTTATTGTGCTGTAGGTTGTTTTTATAAATTTCACTACGGTAAATAGACAGTAAATAGTTTTATTTTTGATAAATAAATTTGTTTAATTAAGTGCTCAATTGGTTATTTTGGTTTTCTATCAACCTTCATTTCTGTGTCGGTGATGTGGTGTGATATTCTTACTGGGTTAGTGTAACTCATACTTTATTTAACCATTTCAGATTAAGAGAACCAAAATCTAAAACTCGATCCACAAGAGGATTGCGAGTAAAATGCTAGTTTTCTTTATTTTCTGTTCATTTTCTTATTTTTTTTGTATTTCTTTTAAAATGGTAATTCTCATATCACTATTCGGTACTTTAAGTTATGTGTGTAAGGAATGTAAACCTTAAACATCTATTTTGCTTTCGTATTTTAATTATCATTTATTTTTTTTTAATCTTTCCGAGGTCGTTACACCACCTACTACTCATCCTAGCCGTCCATTCTATCCCATAATCTACACCCATCCTAACCGTCCATTCCCTCTCACCATCTACACTCATCCCAGCTATCTGTTCCCTCTCACAAACCACACTTATCTTAGCCGTCCATCCCATCTCCCAAACAACACCATTCACCCCTCTCCCTCTCCCATATATATATTTTTTATTATTATTATTATTATTACATTTCTTTTTTTCCAACCCCAAATTCCGTTACTACATTAGGTAAAATTATTTTAAAAAATCAAATAAAATGAACTAAATTATTTAAATTGCAAAAAACAAACTACAACAAATGTTTCTTGCAAAAATAAGTTCACTTGATTCAAGATTTTCACTCAAAAGATTACAGAAGGGGAATTAGGGTTTTGGGTAAATATTTCAACCAAAAGAACATCTATAGATTGGCATCTAATCCTAACTATTATTTTCTGTTTCAAAGCAAGCCAATACTACACAAACAGCCCCTTTAGCTTTCACCTACTCAATCAAACTTGCCATGCCTAAATGCAACAACTTAATTTTCTGCAGCCAGACATAATGCCTTATCGAAGCCCAGCAGATGAATATATACTTTAGAGGTCATCCGGGACAAGGCCGATAGTTGAGTACAGCAAAAGAAATATGTTACTTCAATCCTCGAAGCTCCTTTCAACACTTCATAGCAAAGATTCCCGGAAAGAATTCAGACTCTGCTGGCTCCTCTCCGTCCTCGTCCATATAATCTTGTTGTTTGGCCTCTCTTCTCAATTTTCTTGAAACAACGATTACAAAGTTTCAAATTCAGTTTGAAAACACACGCTTCAAGAAAAAAAAACAATCTACTAAATAACTCAAGAAAACAGGTATCACCTCCGGGTTCCTTGCTGATGATGCAGGTCTGAATCTTGATTGTTTTCTCATGAAAACTCTGGCAGCCTGTTTCTTTTTCTCTTCCGCCTTCAATTTGGTGATACTGGGTCTGTACACAATCACAGTCCTACCAATTTGACCAACTACTACAGAACCTGTCTCTTCCTCCAAATTCTTCACCACATCCTCTAACTCACCCGGGCAAGTCCGGTGTATTTTGATCTGTTCACGACATTTAAGTCCAATTGTTTTAAGCGTCAGCTCATAATACAAACAGATTCATACTTGATTCACTTAAAAGACAAGGAAACAAATTGAAATTCCGTGAAACAAGAAGGTATTATCTAATGATCTACAAGGATCTGACATCAAAGTTAGTAAATTATTAGCATCTTATATCAATGTATCTTCTTACAGGGTCTCAAAACTGCTGATACTCACATGCTATGCATAATATAGTCGTGTTTGGAATAAATATAGAAATTATGTGAAAATTTTTCAGATATTGCAATTAATGTAAAAGGGTTGATGAAATTTTAATTAAGAAATCATAGAAAACAAAAATTGAAAATTTTTAAGTAGAAATGGAACAATGACATTCCAAATTCCAACTCTGCTCCTTACAATTCCATTTACAGTTTCCTGCAAACTCAATTTTATTATTTCAAATAGAATTTTCAATCTCCTCTAGCTAAAAAATAGGCAAGCACTTCCAAATGAATTCAAGAAAACTCTGGATTTGTCCCAAACAGAGACTTTTAAATTTGTAAGTTTACAAACTTTTCTGTAATACCATGTTTGGGACGAATGAAAATGATAATGAATTGGCACAGAAATCATTTGTCAACTTACAAACTTTATGTGAATAAAGACATGAATTTGCTAATGTATTCTATACTTTCTTCTGTGGAACTAAGTTTTCCAAACACTGCCTAAAACAACTTAGTTCAAAAATGGAGAAGAAATTGTACATATATACATTTATACACACATATATACATATACCTTGAGAAGCTCATTTTTCTCCAGAGTTTCATCGAAAGACGAAATAACAGTATCCGTGACACCTGATTTTCCGACGAGCTGGCACTTGAGCTTTTTCCCCAAACTGTGCGCATAAGACGCCAGATCTTTCTTCTCTTTCACCGTCAAAGTCGGCAACTTTATCACTCTTCCTCCATTGTTTCTGTTACACATTTGCAGATTATCAACAACATTATTCGCCACCTGGAAATCTTCATCTTCGTCTTCTTCTCCTTCTTCTTCCTCTTCAATCTCCACTTCCTCCACCTCTTGTTTGTTTGGAGAAGATAAGAAATGGAGGGAGGATTTAGTAGGGGGGAGGGAATTGAAGGAAGAAGAAAGAGATTGACAGAATAGAGGAGAAGCAAATTTAGCGATTTTGTTAGCGGATGGTTTAAAATTGAGTCGAGTTGTGGTGTTTTTAATGGAAGAGCTGCAAGTGGGTCTGAAGAGCAAAGAAAGAGGTGGTGGTGGCTTTGGGTGTCTGAGTAGATGCTGGAGAAGGTGAACGGACGAGAATGGCGAAGCCGATACAGACACTACCGCCATTGCTACAGTTTGTCGATTCTGGGTTCTGTCCAAGAGGATTTGATTTATGAAATGCTGTTATTTCTCTTCTTTTTAAAATTTTTAGAGAGTTTATACACATTCGGGTGTTTGGTCTAGTGGTATGATTCTCGCTTCGGGTGCGAGAGGTCGCGAGTTCGATTCTCGCAACACCCCGCTTATTATTCATTTTTTGATATCTTGAGTGGTATTCCTAACAAGGAAATGTAATTAAATGTTCTTGGAGTAATTCTTAGTTTCGTATTTCAGAAAAACATAATTAAATAAATTCAAAATTATATTTTTGGGTTAAAAAATAAATAATTAAATAACTTTTTATTGAAAAAAGAAAATCACTAAATAATAGCAAACAGAGTGTAATAAATGGTAATCATTATAATTTATTTCTCATTTAAAAGTGATTTTTAATTAAAAAAAATAGTTATATAAATGCCAAATATAGAGTAGTAATCATTACAACCTCAAAGGCTACAATCATAGGCTCAATTTTCCAAGATAATCTCAGCAAGAGATTTGGAATTTATTGCCACTATTTCACCGCTTGGTGAGAGAAGAAAAACCTCGAGACCCTTACACTTTTTTTCTTGCTTAAATAATTAATTACATTAATCTCACAATCCAATATAAATATAGAATTTACATTTATATTCTATATTTATTATTTTATTCAATGAAATATTTAATATTTTTATTAGTCTCTAAATGAAAATTCATAAGTGGGATTATTTTTTAACTTCAACTTTTGTTGGATAATAATATAAATATACTTTTAAATTTTCTATAATTCTTATAATTAGCCACACATAAATTTATATAAAATATGGAGTTGATAAATTGCTATTTTGATTAATTGTCTTGTAGAAGATAAAAATATTCTACATTATACTAAAAAGCAGTAAATAATTTCAACCAAAACAGAGGATTAGATTATTAATTGTCAAAGATTAAATTAGTAGATTTCCATAATTTCACCACCCTCGACAGATCACAGTCAAAATCAAATCACAAACAAATCTGCTCCCCACCATCAAATCACAGCCATCGATCCGGAAGGTGGATCCCATCACCTGCCCCATTTGATCAGCAAGACCCAGGTGCCAGATTCCACCCTCTATTCTATTTTCTTCAACAAAACCCTAAATTAAAAGACCCCCCCAAGCTCAGTTAAACAGAATGAAACCCTAATCTAATCATAGCAACATATACATATAACATCCATATGTATATATATGGATACGGGTTATATTTATAACGCAAACTAGGGATCTGGACCAGAGAAGGCCAAACCAAACCAAACAAGAAACTTCTTTATAACTTCAGTCTTCAGAGCATGACTTCTTCATGTTCGGCCGTGTACAAGAAAATCCAGGAGAAGCTCCTGCATTAATCATGTCATGTTCCAACAGACACTCAAAACGCAGTCGTTTTTAAGTAAGAAACTCACCTTGTCTATCAGATTTCAGTGATGGCGGCCACGTACTTGAAATTAGTCTCCCCACCATGCTTTCTTTCACCAACTCTCTTGACCCGTCACGAGCAGGACTGAAAATTACTGGTAAATAATCTTGACAAGGAAACGCCATTCCCTCAAATTGCTCCACTAGCTGCTCCTTCCCCTATATATATACATATACATATACATATACATATACATAAACAACAAAAAAGAAAGTGCACGAGTAAAATTACAGGAGACCCTTTTGTGTAAATATCTGATAATTTGAAAACCAAATAATGGTCAAACAGAAATCATGTTGTTCCTCAGTCTATATAAAATGCATAAGAAATGAGTTAAATTATGAGAGAGCCTTTGTGTAAATCTAAAAATTTGAAAATCCAATCATCGCCCTACTAAAATTCTATCTAAATAGATGCATCTATATATATGTGCTGTTCCTCAGTCTATATAAAATGTATA